TGACAGTTGGTCCTAAGGTTGTAAATGATACTATCTTCCCCCTCCTTGCCACCCATTCTAGATTCCCCTCATCCTCAACTAGCACTTCTGTTGGGTAGGATGACCTAGGCCCTCATCCCTCCAGGGTCTGAGCCCCTGGTTTCCATGGTCTCATCAGGCTACATGTAGGGCAGCGCCAAGTGTGTCTTAGTGGGCCCCTCAGTGCCATGCATATTCCTCACGTCCTGACTGTACAGCATCAGCCCTTCCAGTTATGGTCATTTCTTCCCTGGCCTCCTGGTCTACTGGCATGAGGAGCCTGAGTGACCATGCAGCAGCCATAGCTTTAAGTTTAGTGGAGTTCTTTGTTCCTGCCCAAGAATCAAGACATCAAAACCCACAGAGCCTAAAGTTGTAAGCACAAGAAGCCCAAATTCCCATGATCACCATCAGTGACAGTGAGCTTGACTACTCCTACTTGATTTCCAAACCCATGTTTTCTCCCTGTTGGGGACACTGCATTACATAAGGCCTTCGCCCTAAGGAGTAAACAACCTCCAGAAGACCACTGTCCCACCTCACAGGGTGTCATTTCCAAGCTAGCTGAAGCTGATGCATCTTTGGGAGACCCTATTCCACCCCCCATCTGAGGTTAGCGTCTTCTGGACGGTTTGGTTTGTGTAGGAGCAGGGGATTTCAAAGTCACATGATTGCTGCTATATTTCTTTTGCTGCGAAGTGGGTCCCTTGAGCTGAGGAGGTATTCTGGTTTTCCTCACTGGTGAATCAGACACTCTGTGAGCCCTCAGACAGTGGTGCTGACCAAGGCCACAGAATGTCTGATTCTCTCTATGGGAGACCGCATAACATCGCCTTGGACTAAGGGACCCAACTTCACTATCCTTTAATATAGGAAATCAGTGTGCTATTTTGTGGAATATCTGGATGGTCCAAACCCTTTTGGGCTATACTGTCGTAGAGAGTGGGAGAATGTGAATGGCCTTGGGGCAAGACTGAATACACACTGCTGCTCACCCCAAGTCAATACAAATTGCTTCTGTTCCTTCTTCTGTATGGGGATGGAGAAGAACACATTTTGCGTTTCAGTAGCTGTATATCATATATGAAGGTGGTGTTCATCTGCTCTGGTAAAGATACTCCAGCAAGCACAACAGCTGCAAGTGGGGCTACCAGCTGGTTAGGTTTGTGTTAAGTTTGTGATGAGGATATGATGGGAACCACCACCAAATCCTGAGAGTGGTACCTTGAGGATACTGCTGATTTGCAATATTGTTTTGTATTTACTGTATTGGCTTGGTGGGGAGAAAGTGGAGGCGGATGGGCATTTCACAAGCCTTTACTTGGCATTCCCTACTATAAGACCTCTTATGTTACCTCACAGGTCAAAGAGCCAATGTCCACTGCTAAGCAGGTCTATGGCAATTACATACTCAGGAATTGGAGGAAGTAATCAATGGTGGTTCATAAGTGCAGTGAACGCATTGCAAAAAGAACTTAGGCCAGGACTCCATATATTACCTCTCCTTTATATGCCCCTCTTCTAACAAGGGGACCATGATGGCACTTTGGGTACCTGGTTTACACTTGCCAGGGTGTTGAAGAGTCTTTCTTCATTGGGATCTGGCCTCTTTTCAGTCACCGGGTTCTGGATCTGAGAAGTGGCTCAGATCTAGGAACTTGACAAAGCAAAATGTCTTGCCATGGGGGCAACTGACCTCAGCCTTTTGCTAACTCATACCGGATCACTTTTGATTATATATATGAAGCAATACCTTTGTTGTCTGCTCATCTCTCTTGCTCCAAGGAACACCATGTTCTATTAATCATCTCCATTGAAGATTCCTACGGGTCAGGCCCCCTTGTCTCCTACTCCAACCTTGCTGCCCACTTTAATAATTGTATCCATCTTGCTTTTGAGAGTTAAGTGATACCCAGCCTTTGGTAGTCTGTGATTCTGTCCTCCACAGTGATACTAAGGAGCTCAGTTTTGTAATGATGTATCCTACCAGCCTACAGAGGTTACTCAGCACTCAGCTTTTCAGTGATGCTGGTGCCCTTCTCACCAGCTCATTACTTACTGTCTTGATATATAGAGTGTCCTCTAGGCCTTCAAGGAACATAATCAGTTGGTGTGTTTTCTGTTCTTGCATTTTAGATCCATTCTAGCACGCCTACTACTCTGAGCCTTGAATCCCTTCCTCCACAGCCTGATACAGCTGTTCTGGAACCTCTGCTTCCTTTCCTCAGGGCCACAGCTTTTGCCAAGCTTCCAAGAGCTGTTCCAGCAATATATTGGATCCATCTCCCAAGATTCCAGGGCTCTTGCCAGGCTATTAAGTCCTACATTGCTGGTGGCCCCAAATCAACAAACTCTCTTTATCCAGTTTCATATTCTGCCTCGTTGGTCTAGCAACCTCAGGACCCATAGTCGGCCATTCTTTCCCAGTTGCTACCGGTCTGTGTTAGCCAGGTCCCTCTCAGAGATCCAGCCCTTTCCCAGTCAGATCATGCTGAAACTTGACCCTAATTATCAGGCAAGTGGTCAGGAGGGATAGTATAGGCAGGTCCTGAGGAAGGTACACATTTTCTTCCAAGACACCTGCATCATTTGAGGTTTCTGCATTGTCCTCAAATGTGGCAGGGGTGGAGTGGAGGGGCTCTATTTTCCAGCAAGAGTGAGTGGATTACTTCTGTAGTCCGAGAGCGCTCAGGGGAACCTCAGGGTTCAAGGTTCTCGTGTGCATCACCCATGTCTTAAAAGCCCTCTTCTTCCCTGTGAGGGGCTTGACTTTGTCATAGGTGACTTACCTCGGCTGAGAACTCAGGCTTCTCTGAAGTTCCGCAAGTCTTACAACTAAGTCCTGTGCCTGGACTTCAGCTCTTCCTGCCATCTAGCTAAAGGAGAGGAGTCTGTAAATACCTCCAGGGAGGCCTCGGATTCTCACACTGGGCTTGGAATTCCTGGGTGATCGCCCTGAGCCTGTCATCTCTCATCGAAGCTTCGGTGGCATTCAACAACTACCCCCCATTTCCACAGTCCACAGTCCTTATTAACATTATGGCTCCCCCACATCTCTTGGTGCCAGAAATATCCAGTGGGCGCCCCCCTCCCCGCTTTATCCTGTCCCAGTTCTCCACAGGTGACAGCTTTAGCAATTGCTCTGCTAACCACGGTCCAGGGATCCTCGATACATGTTACACACGGGGATCCTCATTGCCAGCTGAACCCAAAACGATCCTCCTCCCAATTGCATCTGGGAGTCTGCTTCTGGTCGTGCATTTTAGATCCATTCTAGCACGCCTAGGGAACGTGCTAGCACATTTCTAGGGAAACGGTCTGGCGCCGACTGTCTCAGGTCAAGTGCCCTAGAAACAGAGCCCAAGACTGGGTTCAGGTGCATGTGATTTATTAAGGATGTATTATTCGGGAAAATTCCATAAGAGAAAGACAGAAACAAGACAAGGGGAAAGAGTAAGATGTGGTCTCAGGTAAAACAAACTTTGGATTGATCCACGAAGGAGCTCAGAAGCATAAACCGCAGACAAAGTTGTCCTGTCGGCTGAGAAGCCAGGGTCAGCTTTTTATACCCTTGTATTAAGAAGCCATTGGCCTCAGCTACCCCGGGGGCAGGGCTGGAGGTGGGGAGGAGGTATTTAGGAGGGCAATTCTCTGGAGAAGGAGGCAACTGTGAGCCCTTAGAAGCCACACACACAGCAACTCGGGGGTGGGTGCGCCAACTAGGTAAGGGGATCCCCGAGGGGCATCTGCAGTGTCTATGGCAGTTGTGAGGGTATATAGACACATTTACATAGATCTGTCCGTTGGGACCTAATCTGGTTGATACAGTTTCTTATTTACATTTTGGTTTCCAATGCAAGATTCTAAACTCTTCTGCAGCAAGGACTCTGTGCTATTCATCTTTGCATTCCTAACGCAGGGACTGGCAATGAATTGTTACTAGTCAAACTCTTACCAGATAAAGAGGAGCTTGGGGTCGATCACAGAGCAACTTTAACTCCAGATGAAGTAATTTGGGCGTGATTCTGTTGGCGGTTGGAAAGAGTGTGGAGCACTTACTGGCCGCAGTGGACCCTGCGCATTGGGCTAGGGAAAGGACGGGGAGAGCGGCCGAGGCACTGTTGTAGTGATGCAGGCAAGAAGCCACAAGAGGCAGAGTTCTGGTAGAGGCTGCGAGCCGAGGGAGGCAGATGCAAAAGTCATTCAAGTATTATCTACAGGATCCAGATGGCCCCAGGCTGACAGCCAGTAGAGAGACCATCAGCGAGGCTAATTAATCAAGTGTGTTACAAGTTTTATTCTTCTATGCCTGCACGCAGAAAGAAGAGCATGCCTCATATTTGCATGGAAGAAATATCCAAAAAAATAAATCCATGTGGGTTTCCTTAGTGTCATGCATAATTAGACAAAGCCCATGAAGTAAGCATGGGAATATTTTCTTTCCCTCCATATTTTGGGCAGAGTTCCACAGTCAGATCTGAGAAAACCCAAGGTCATCAGTGTGGAATTCGTTCAATTCATTAGCACGTGGGGTACTTAAGTTTAAAGTGGTTTCCAGGGGCGCCTGGGTGGCTCAGTCGTTAAGTGTCTGCCTCCGGCTCAGGTCACGATCCCAGAGTCCTAGGATTGAGCCCCGCATTGGGCTCCCTGCTCAGCGGGTAGCCTGCTTCTCCCTCTCCCACTCTCCCTGCTTTATTCCCTCTCTCACTGTGTCTCTCTGTCAAATAAAAAAAAAAATCTTAAAGTGGTTTCCAGTGACATTGCTTTCAAATCAATCATTCTATACCGTAACATATGTTCTGAAAGCTGCTGATTCAGCACATTATCCTCAGCTGCATTCTGGACCGGATCCTGGCTGGGATAATTTATCTGTGACTCAGATGGATCATATACACATCAAGAAATACGTACTTTTTTTTTTTTCTGAGTTCTTCCAGGACTGGACTCTAGGCAAAGCTGTGTGCATTCCTCTCCAATTTTAGGGCTCAGTGACTTTTGGCCAGGTGCCTGCCCTTCACGTTGTTTTCCGAGAACCGGTTCCTGGGACCCTTGTTGCGTGGACTGGACCTGGATTTGCCAGGGTTCTCCCTGGGGCTGGCTTGAGATTTGCCGTCAACAACATTTCCTTTCCCATGAACTTCACCATTGCCCTTCGCTACGAAATTCAGGTACCCAACTTCTTTTTCAGGGGTAAAGGGCTGACTGAAGTGCATTCTCGAACTACGAGTTTCCATTCCAGTCTTGCTAGATTAGGGTCATCAGAAAATGATTTGCAAAAAGTAGAACATCTGGAGAGCATTAGAAATCAAAGAATTTCCTAGCAATATTAAAATAACACAGTAAGCCAGAGGGATACATGCTTTATTTCATGGAGAGAAGCTGAATTTGAAGTTATATATCTAAGGTACAGGGTCTAAGGAAGTGGTGATGGAATGTTTGTATAAGAACAATGAAAAACTAAACTAACACAAATTCTGCCCTCCTAGGACTTTTTTCTAAAAATTTTCTAAAAATTTAATAAGCTAACCTATGTGCAGAGATTCAGATTCACGCAGAAGAGGCATTTATTTTGCACTTGGAATTTACCCTGAAACAAGAAAAAAACTAAAGGCAGACAGCTCCTCTTGCGTCCTCCCCCTGCCTTTTGAGAAATATCTAAGGCAGAATAGAAACCAAATCAGAAAAACACTCCATCTAGAGTGGTAGCCCCTAACCTTTTCTCTGCATAATCTTTTCTTTGATAATCTGAAACCCCACAGACCATTTCACCTGAAAAATATTTTATAAGGCTGGGGATGGTCTCAGAGCCCCCAGGGTTCCTCTGGGGACCACATTCTGGAAATGTTCATGTTATGTTGTATGAGCAGAACTGCTGATCCACTTTGAAACTCTTGATACGACATAATTCTCTATTGCTCACTTATAAATGAAAGCCAAGGGACTTCAGTGAACTTGGACCTGGGGAGTATGATGAATCATTAAAAATAGGATATATATTTTAATTTTTCCATAGAGAGGACACATCTGTGGCATCTTTAAAAAGCATTTCCAAATTGCATGGCTTTCAGAGTATAGCTGATTAGCATGTACTATAAATATATATGCATATTTAGACACATATAAATAGATTTAGCAATATAATCATCAAATATCACATAACAAAATCTATGTAATGATACATTTATATAATAATATTTATGCAATAGCATGAAAAAAAGGATATAAGCTTTTGTGAAGGATTCCAAATTTCCATTTTTGTTCTGTAATACAGGGACAGGTACATTAATTGACTCTCTGGGAGACAGAGGTTAAAGACGAGGCCTGTCAGGAGCGCCAGGGCTTTTCCAGCCCATGAACTAGAGCTACGGCCAGAAACAATATTCTTGGGTCTACCTGGCTCACCATTCAGACCCCAGCGAGTTAGAGCTGAGAGTGAGCCTCTCAGACTTTGCTCGTAAATTCCATTTTCCGAGAGGGCTGGGGGTTGTGGATTCGAGTCCAAGTGCTGTCCTTGAGGTGTGTGTTGTACCTGCACTCACAAGGACGTGCTTTTTATGTCCTGTCCGTCTAGCCCGCAGCCGACTGGACTGTCCAGGTCCTGGCTAACCCCCGTGGAGGGAGTGAGCACTGTCCACGCGAGAGTCCATGGCCACGGCCTCCGTCTTTCCCTTTACCAGCGGCTTCCAGGTATGCTTGGGACCTGTCCTCAAACATGGAAGGCTTCTTAGAATTTTGTTCATCTATCAGTAATTTGTATCAAAGAACTAAGCAGGAGAAGAGGTGCATTAAAGGAGACGGTGACATTTATTAAGTGCTTGCTGTGGGCTACACTAAACTTCACATTTAAGATCGTATTTTATCTTGCTAACAACTCACTGAGGTAGACTTTCTCTTCATCAGGCGAGGAGGGAATTGAGAATGAGAATACTTGGAGACCTGCCCAGTCTCATAGCTAACATATTGCAGAACCAGGATTCTAGCCCCGATCTCCTGATTCTCAGTCTGGAAATTTCCTTTCCCTTTCCCCACATGGCCTGGAGAGGTGAGAAAGTGAAATGATACAAGAGTAAGAGTCAAATATTTAGCTGGCATTATCTCAACAGCTGAGAGTCTATCAGGTAAAAAAAAGCTACTAACTCTGAGGCCACTAATTTTGCATCAGAGATTTGTGGCAAAATAAAACAAAAGACCCTGTTGAGATTAGCATGGTAGAAAGGATGAAGGACATTTGTTCTATCCTTTTCCCAGAGCAGTCATGACAACCCATGGCTAATAGTTCCTAAGCTTTGCTATTTGGCACAATCCTATGCAAGAGCCACAGAGAGAATCTGAGAGTGAATTTGCTGTCCACCCAACGCGCCTGAACCGGTCTAGACCTGGCCTCTACCCCACGGTCAAACCCACGTCTGCGCAGGTGGGATACCACCAAATACCCTGGCCGCTTAGGTTATATGACTGTACTTTGTCACTGAATTGTTGCTTTATTTCTCTTCATACAGAATCGTGCTGCTTCCCACACCCATCTGTTTAGAACCAGATGTACAATATTTCATAGATGTCTATTTTTCCCAGCCTTTGGAAGGAGGGTCCCACGCTTATTCGCACATCCTGGTTGATTCGGTAAGTATCCCGGAGCGACGGCGTGCTGCCTTCCAAACTGAGCCCCGTTATCATTCTGCTTTTAGACTGCATGGTGCAATGTTTCTTTAGAAGTATAAATGAGTTTGTTCCATTAGAAAAATCACTGATTCTCTATAAATGTCACCTAAGACCAATTGCAAACCTTACAGAACAGCACGCACCAGCAACAGTTTGAAGTGTTTTACCTATTCTATTGTTTAGTCTTCACGACAACTCTGTGAGGGAGGCGCTGTTGTTGTCCCCATTTTATAGACAACAGAACTGAGGCACAGGGTCACAGAGCCAGTGAGAGAGGAGTCTGCCATCAGAGCCAGACTCCCTGATGCCAGAGCCCCCACTCTGAGCCACCACGGCGTCCTGGCATTGCAGAAAGTTGGGGGAGAAATTCTACCACTTTAATTGTCAGTGTCTTGTAAGTTCCGCTCTATACATACTGTGTTTTTGTATTGCTGTGATCAGAGCACTCGTACATAGACAGATATTTTTTAGTTCCCGTTATATCATAAGCATTTTCTTATGGTGCTTATGTAGTCTTCTTATCATTTTTAGGAACGATGCATAATATTTCCTCAAATGACTTCTTTCAACGCCTTTCCCCCACAAAGCTGGGCCACAGATATTCCTTCCAAACCTCTCACTCTGTACAGAACTTCAGGCCCAGGCTAGTCCCTGGGCAGAGTTTGGGCACTGAGGAAATTTAAGCCTTCACTTACCAGTATCTATTCCCTACTCGTCAAGGTTTATGGCTCTTGAAATAGCCTGTCAAATTAATTTCTGGGAAGTATTCTCCAATTAACTGTCACGATCATCAGAAATATGTGAAAGTATCGGGTTCATTCCACCTTCAGCAGAATTGTATAGAATTGTGTGGAATTTTTTAAAAGTAATTTTGTGGATAAAAATCAAATTCATTTGTTACAGCTGCATTTTTAAAATATTCGTGAGAGGGGTGCCTGAGAGGCTTAGTCGGTTAAGCGTCTGCCTTCGGCCTTTGGCTCAGGTCATAATCCCGGGATCCTGGGGTCCAGCCAGCGTTGGGCTCCCTGCTTGGTGGCGAGTCTGCTTCTTCCTCTCCCTTTGCCCCTCCCCTTTGCTTATGCTCTCTCTCTCTCTCACTCACTCTCTCTTTCTCAAAATAAATAAATAAAATCTTAAAAAAAAAACAAAATAAAGTATTTGTGAGAATCTTCCAATATCATGATTTAATTGGCAAACTACTGTCCTACAAGGTTTTATTTGAACACAGCTATGGCCAGTTGTTTAAAGATTTATTTATTTTTGTGGGAGGAGGGGCAGACAGAGAGGAAGAGAGAATCCAAGAAGACTCTGCACTCAGCACAGAGCCTGACACGGGGCTCCATCTCACGACCCTGAGACCATGACCTGAGCCGGAACCAAGAGTCGGACACTTAACTGACTGAACCCCCCAGGCGCCCCTGGCCAGTTGTTTATATATTATCTACCACTGTTTTCAAGCTACAAAGGCAGAGCTGAGTACTTGCCACAGAGGCCTTATGACCCACAAAGCCAAAAATATTTACTGTCTAGCATTTTATAGGAAGCTTGACAATCCCTGTTTTAATTAGTTGTATGTCCATATTTCATGAATTGTGTCTTTTAAAGTTTAATTTTGAAGCATCGAACATTTTAAATTTATAACCTGGAACTTTGCTGTTTCATCATTTACTATAGAACTCAGTATGAGGCAGGTGTATCTTGGAATTTATTCAACAAGTTCAGGTATTGTAACATCTAGAAAAAGCCATTATATAAGATTATTTTACCAGAGATAGGATTGCAAAATTTAGAAAACAGGGAGGGAGGGAGGGAAGGAAGGAAGGAAAGAAGGAGAGAAGGAAAGAAGGAAGCAGGGAGGGAGGGGAGGAGCAAGGGAAGGAGGGAGGAAGGAAGGAAGGAAAGAAGGAGAGAAGAAACGGGACACTCAGATTTGAATATTGTATAAATATGTCCAAAATATTGCCCTCGAATGCTGCATGAGACATACTAAAAAATTATTCATTGCTTTTCCGAAATTCAGTTTCAACTGGGTGATTTGTATTTTATCTGGCAACCTTACCCAAAGATGGTCTAAATCTTGCACCTAGAGGGCCGTCTGATAGTGTGGTGAGGTTCTACCATGTTACAGTAGAAATGAGGTGGAAAGTAGAAATAAACTCTTTTTTTTTTATTTTTTTTTAAAGATTTTATTTATTTGACAGAGAGAGACACAGCGAGAGAGGGAACACAAGCAGGGGGAGTGGGAGAGGGAGAAGC